ACACAGTTTGAGAGAAAATGTTTTCATTGTACCAGTGATCATTGTGGGAGAAAACTCTGTCCTTTTGCCTTTGGAAACTTATCTGAGATAGGGACAGAGCCTTGCACACCAAGACAGCTATGGTGGTAACATCGTTGATCATCTAAACAATGAGGAATCTTGATGTCCAGCAGAAGAGTAGCTGCTGTGCTTGTCCTGTCAACTGTGTAGCCATTACAGATGCTTGGAAATAGTTGTCAATAACAAAAATGCTTTTATTACCCTAAGAGGGGGTGGGAAAGATGGGCAGGGAAATGGATCTACAGCAGGAGCCCAACTACATGAATATCCACAGCAAAGGAAAAGACCCAAGGAAACAGATCACATTTCAGCAGTGCTCATCTCTGGGCAGTGGCCTAATTGACATGTCTCTTTTGTTGAAGCATTCAACCTTCCTAAAATGAGTGTTATGCTCAAAATCAGAAGGTTATTAAGCTATATTGATATCTCTAGATAGTTGAATTACTTGATCTTCCAAAGCTCTGGAATTAGGTGCAGCGTTAAAAATATTAAACCTTAATCCATTCAGCTATCCCCCCCCGCCCCGTACATTTAAGCAAACATGTGTTGAAGGCCTCTTTCTTCCTTCCTTCCCCATTACCTAAAACCGTGTGCTAGGGTATAGTGGGCGTGAAAAGATGAGCAAGGTACCGGTACAATCATCATAGAAATTTGGAGGTTGAGATGTAGTGGGTATTTGCATCTACCAACAGCAGACATTTAGAAAAATGAGTATTTCAGGTGCTATCACTTACAACAGCATCAAAAAACATCAGTTACCTACGAATAAATCTAACACGCCAGACTCTATCCAGCCAACAATCAGAGTAATGTAAATGTCATGATGTTACCTTATTGTAAAGATGTCAGTTCCCTGACAAGATTTAGGGCAATCTTTTAAGATTTTTTTTTTTATTTATTTGACAGAGAGAGCCAGCTAGAGAGGGAACACAAGCAGGGGGAGTGGGAGAGGGAGAAGCAGGCTTCCCACCGAGCAGGGAGCCCGACGCGTGGCTTGATCCCAGGACTCTGGGATCATGACCTGAGCCGAAGGCAGACACTTAACGACTGAGCCACCCAGGCGCCCCGAGATTTAGGGCAATCTTAAGTCTTAGTAAGTAGTTTTGTGGAAGTTGAGAAGGTGATTTTAAAATTTATATGGAAATGTAAAGGGCCAAGAATAGCCAATACAATAATGAAAAAACAAAGGGAAAAAAGTTGGAGGACTTCCATTATCACATAGCAGGATTTATCGTAAAGCTGCAATAATCAGACACTGTGGTATCAGCACAAAGGTAAATGAATAGATCAGTGGAACTAGAGCATTCAGAAAGAGTTCCCACAAATGCAGTCATCTGATAAATGACAGGCGTGACATTAGAGTGCATTGGAGAACCCAGGACCTTTTCAGTAAATGATGCTGAGTCAACTAGATTTCCATATGGAAAAAATTTTAGCCAATATCTTACACTATACACAGAAAAATCGGTTCCAGATGTATGCTAAGCCAAACTGCAAGGTAAAACAGAAACTTCACAGTAACAGGTGCTTGCTACCCTGCTCTCTGAGGCCTTGCGCCCGTACCATCTCCCATGACAGAGAACTGCCCATCCTTTGGCTCATTGCACGACCCCTGGCCCCCAGCTTCTGGGATCTGTAAGGAATAAATCTTGTGACTCTTACTTCCTTTGCATGGGTGTGATGAAACTACACTTTCAATCAAACGACCCGGTGGGTTTCACTTCCAATGTGGGAGCGCCCGTACTCAGGGAGCTACTTGCTGCCCCCACGTGGGTGCCTGGTGCCGGTTCATTCAACTGCATATTCTTCACAGCACACCAGCTCCGCTTCTCAACACAGAGGGCTTCACCAAGAGATGCCAGGAGTTAGAAGTCAGGACTGGTCCTAAAGATTTTAAGCCCTCCTATCCCTCTTGGGCGTCTTCGGAACCATAAAAGCCACTGCCTCTCCCACTGGGCCAGGAGTGTGTTAGTGGGATGCTGTGGATGATCTCCACAGAGGGAAACGCCAGAGTGGGGAGGATCTGCCCTTCCCCCTGACGCTGCCCACGATGCCTGCCCCAGCAGGGTAGGGGGCATACTGTGGGTCACATGCCGAGTGTCACTGGTGGCCATGGGGTGAGTGATGCAGCAACACCGAAACCTTAGTAGGAGCTGGTTCAGAATGCACGCTTGGGGCCTTGCGCCCATGAGTCAGCTTCGGTGGGTGTGTCTGGGGTGGGGAGCTAGAATCTGCAACCGAACGGGGATTCTAATGTAGGGGGCCCTTGAAGCACAATTTGGAAAACTCCACTCTTTGAGCTTCTTGGGGAAAAATGCATAGGGGAGGTGGAGGCAGAGATTCACGAGTGGGTCCTCCTGCATTTTTTTTAAATTTTATTTGAGAGAGAGAGAGAGAGAGAGAGAATGAGAGATAGAGAGCACGAGAGGGGGGAGGGTCAGAGGGAGAAGCAGACTCCCCGCCGAGCAGGGAGCCCGATATGGGACTCGATCCCGGGACTCCAGGATCATGACCTGAGCCGAAGGCAGTCGCTCAACCAACTGAGCCACCCAGGCGCCCGGGTCCTCCTGCATTTTATCCGGGGTGCTTCAGTGCTGTGGAGTCCTCTTCGCACAGGGGGAAACTGGCCTCCACGCCCACGTGCAGCCCTGCTGGTAGATTTGGGCACAGGTGAAGATTTCTGTATTCGGAGAGCTGTTCTAGTTACTGTGTTAGAAGTTGCATGCAATCTTTGATTCAGTGATTAAGTGACGCACTGTACTGTCTTTAAAATATAACAGACAGCAACAGTAGGGGGGCCCCCTAAAGCAGATTAGGCCTTACTGTTCCATCTGCAAGGTTCTACCTCTTTATACCCTACCCATTTTGGGGGATTTTCGATGGTAGGATCCTATCTATTCCCCTGTCTTGCTCTCACCAGCCCCACCTCCACACTGAAGGTAGCCATAAAAGAAGTCAGAAGGTGACTCTTCTTGAGTCGGTCCCTCTTGGTGTCCCCTTTTCTTTCCAAACCATGACAGCCGACGTCAGTCTGTGGGCCCTGGACATGCTGTCTTTTTATTCTATTTTATTTTTTTAAGTTTTTATTTAAATTCCACTTAGTCAACAGTGTAATTAGTTTCAGGTGTAGAAGTTAGTGATCGTGCTCATAACAAGTGCCCTCCTTAATCCCTGTCACCTATTTCACCCATCCCCCCCTTCTGGTAACCCTCAGTGTGTTCTCTATAGTTAAGAGTGTTTCTTGGTTTGCCTTTTCCCCCACGTTTGTTTTGTTTCTTAAATTCCACATATGAGTGAGATCATATGTTATTTGTCTTTCTGATTGACTTTTGTGTTTCATTCTCTAGCTCCATCCACATCAGATACAAAAATACTAACTCGAAGGGAGGGGGCTTCTGGCTGGCGCAGTGGTAGAGTGTGAGATTCTTGATCCTCAGGGTTGTGTTTGAGCCCCACGTTGGGTGTAGAAATTACATCTTAAAAAATTGAGGGACAACCCTGAGGGAGAGGGGGGAGTGCCTTTGGGAGCCAGGAGTGTCAGCATCTTCAAGTCTTCTTGGAAGGGATACATGCACCCCGATGTTTACAGCATTATCAACAATGGGCAGATTATGGAAAAGAGCTCAGCTGCCCGTCACTAGATGAAAGGGTAAAGAAAATGTGGTATATGTATACACACACACACACACACACAATGGAACATGACTCATCCATTGAAAAGAGTGAAGTCTTGCCCTTTGCAACGATGCTCTTAAAGCTGTGCAGGTGGCACTCCCAGGGCATCTGGCCAGGCACTAGTCCCCACACCACCCAGGACTGGCCTCGGTGATTCTTCCGGTTGCCCTGACCACCGGTAGAGGCCTGAGGATGGGACTGGGTCTACCTGCCTCTATGCCAGCGGCAGCAGAGGCCTTCCAGGAACACTTGGGTAGGTGAAGCTCAGGGCCATAGCCTCCCAGACCCCCCCCTACAATAGGTACCCAGCAAATGAGGTCAGTGCCCTGAACTACAAGCCACCCACTTCATTTGAGCTGTGAGTTCTGGTGGGCATTCCATTTTTATGATTTATTTACTTAGAGGGTGCACGCACGGGGTGGGGGGCAGAGAAAGAGGGAAAGAGAGTCTTAAGCAGACCCCACGCTGAGTGCAGAGTCGGGCACGGGGCTCAATCTCAGAATCCTGAGATCATGCCCTGAGCTGAAACCAAGCGTCAGATGCTTAACCGACTGCACCTCCCAGGTACCCTTTTTTTTTTTTTTAAAGATTTTATATAAGAGAGTGAGACAGCGAGCATGCAAGCAGGGAGGAGCAGAGAGGGGGCCATTTTCCGTCTTGAGCAGGGAGCCCCAACTCGGGGTTTGATCCCACACCCCGGAGATCATGACCTGAAATCAAGAGTTGGATGCTTAACTGAGCCACCCAGGTGCCCCCCAAGGATAGTCTTGATTGTACGCAGTATTTGCCTAAGGGACTGGCTTTGAGACCTCCCCTCCCTAATCTGGGGCTCTCACTCTAAAGCTCCGCATCAGCCTGGCTGAGGGTTTTTATGCTAGATGCTCAGCCTGGGCCATGTGCTTCCATTTGCTTCAACAGCATCAGGATCACCTGGGGGTGTGAAAAGGCCCGTGAGTCCCGCTGCTTCTGAGTCTCCAGCTGGGCTCCAGTAGCCCCACTTTATCCAGCTTTCCAGGTGATTCTCGTGCACACGGGAGCTTGAGGATGGCCATTTTCAAGAGCTCAATGATTCTCTTTCGTCTGTTTGGGTTGGCATGTTTCTGGTTAACACTTCACAGCATTGCCTGCCATTTTTCTTGGGTGGTGAGTTGCTTCTCCGAATGGGAGTTGGGCTAACCACATCTGAAAAAGCACAGCCAGATTATCCCATTGAACCTGGCATATATTTCAGTTGGTAATCTGCCATTTTCTTTCCTTTCTGTCAGGTATCTGTACCACGTCTTGACCAAAAACACCACAGTCACAGAACAGAACCGGAACCTGCTAGTGGAGACCATCCGTTCCATCACTGAGATCCTGATTTGGGGAGATCAGAATGACAGCTCTGTATTTGAGTAAGGGTTTCCCAATGTTTTTTGTTTTTGGACTCTCCTTCCTTTGAATATTTTTCTGAGTGTATGCCATGAGTCATTCCTGTGACGTCAGGATTTGACACCCATTTGGGTCTTGTGCAGATCTCAATTTATCTCTATATAAAATGACCTTGAAACACTGGAGAAATGTAAGCTGACAGTGGGAACGTCAGGGAAATGAGTGTCTCTCAAAAAATCTGGAAACCTGATAGACAATTTTCCAAATAGTGTCCGACAATCTCCCCAAAGGAAGGAGAAAATGTCCTGGGAAGTTAGCTTCTAAGTGAAATGAAGGGACCTTGCCTTGGGGAGACACGAAGAGCTCATTTTTGTTATGTTTACTGCTGGGTAAGCACAGTGCTGAGCTCTTCTTTTTTTTTAAGATTTTATTTATTTATTCATGAGAGACAGAGAGAGAGAGAGAGGGGCAGAGGGAGAAGCAGGCTCCCAGGGAGCAGGGAGCCCGATGCAGGACTTGATCCCAGGACGCTGGGATCATGACCTGAGCCGAAGGCAGACGCTTAACCATCTGAGCCACCCAGGCACCCAGTGCTGAGCTCTTGATGAGATAATCTAAGTCTCCCAGCTGCCCCCGGGGTGGAGGCCCTCCTGTCATGAGCATCGCCATTTATGCTCAGGGTCGCACAGCTGGTAAGCGGCAAAGGGGCTTTTCCTCATTCATGGACAGCCTCAGTTTCCTCATTTTTTTAAGGGGGGAGGGGCAGAGAGTCTTAAGCAGACTCCACACCCAGCACGGAGCCCCAGTGCAGGGCTCTGTCTCATGACCTTGAGATCATGACCTGAGTGGGAATCAAGAGTCGGACGCCCAGCCGAGTGAGCTGCCCAGGAGCCCCTCCTCATCTTTAGAGAGAAAGTTCCTGCCCAGCGCCTGGTACAGAGTAGGCACTCAAGAACTGTTAGCACATGATAATTTGTAAAGATGTCCCTCCTGGACAGTTAGAAAGCAAAGACTGGAAGCTGGGGGCAGCTTCCCCAGTAGGCCTGTCTCCGAGTCTGAGTGCAGAGGGATCTGGCTTATGACAGCCACCAAACACAGATTTTATTTTTATATGAAATATTCTCAACTATAAGTACGGAGGCCACTTAAAAAACCCATTTAAAACAAATAAAGGTGTTCCGTTTCCAGCCTGGCTTCTTCTTAGATATTCTGATTTTCCAGATAGCTCTCTGTTTTTATCAGTAGGGTTACCTAAGATAAAGCTATTTGTGGAAAATGCAAACCTGTGACACTGGCCTTTTCCCCAAAGGAAAACGTGAGGAAAGAGGGAGGTGTTGTCTGCAAATGGGGCTGGCATCCTTTGAGGATGCACAGGGTATCGATCGGTTGGTTAGTGTCTGTTTTGGAAATGTGAATGACCTTTGGGTTAAAGGTTAGAAACCGTGTCCCCCTTGACTAGTGTGGACTTTCTGAGCCCATCTGTTGTCTCAGAAAAACTGCTGAGCCCTTAGAGGCCCAGCGATTCCTAAATGGCTCCCCAGGAGAATTTATTTTTAATCCATTTCTTTATTTTAGAATAATTTTAGATTTATAGAAAAGTCACAAAGGTGGTACAGAAAGTTCCCAAACACCCCTCACCCTGTCTCCCCCACGGTTAATATCTTATCTGACTGGGGTGCATTTGTGGAAACAAGCTAACCCTAGTACGTTAGTGTTAAGTAAACTCCAGACTCGATTTGGATTTTGCCAGTTTTTTCATGAAGATTCCCTTGCTGCTCTAGGAACACAGTCCAGGCTCCCATAGTGCATTTAGTTGTCATGTTGACCCAGCCTCCTCTGAGCTGTGACAAATTTTCAGTCTTGTTTTCCTGACCTTGATGGCTTTGAGAAGTACTGGCCAAGGGTCCTGTAGAATGCCCTCTACCCCTGTCTGGGTTTCTGTGATGCCTTTCTCATGATTAGCCTGGGGGTTATGGGGAAGAAGACCACAGTGCGCTTCTCATCCCACAATATCAGCAGTCAAGATACCCACCTGCTCTCTGGTGAGGTTAATCTGATCGCTTGCTTAAGGTGGTGTCAGCCAGGTTTTTCTACCGTAAAGCTGTTCTTCTCCCCTTTTCCTACACTGTTCTTTGAAAGAGAGTTGCTCCATAATTTAGCCCACCTGGGGGCGTGGGGATTTAGCTCCAGCTTCTGGAAGTGGGGGGTGAGTTTCTACATACATTATTTGAAATTCTTCTGCACGGAAGACTTGTCTCTTCTTCCCGTTTATTTATTCAGTGATTTATTTATATCAATTTGGGCTCGTGGATATTTATTATATACTTTGGATTAAAGTATACTGTGGATCCAGTACTGTTACTAAATGCTGTGTTATTAATACTAATTAAAACGCAATACTGCATTATTGGATTAAAGTAGACTTTGGATCCAATACCGTGTTATTTTTTGTGTTGCTCCAGGTCCAGCTTTGGGAACTGAGGGCTCTTTCGGGTTTGGGTCCTGTGACCCTTGACACACCCCGTCCTTCTGGTTTTTTTGAGCACTTCCTTACTTCCCTGTACTCTAAGATGCTGCAGGCTCATCTTGTATTTTCCCTGCCCCAGATCTAGAATTAGCCATTTTTCTAAGGAACCCCTCACTCCCCTAGGGAGTTTTAAAAATCCAGGCTCCTGGATTTCATGCTAGACCTGCAGAATCTGTCCCTGGGCCGGGTCTAGGTACAGACATTTTAACAAGTTCCCAGGTTGGTCATGGTGCTGCTGTGACCTTGTCGGGGGATGCTGATGACTTCAACCTGAAGCAAAGGAAGACAAGATAGTCCAAATGATAGAGATATTCTGGGGATCAACGTGCATGGCATTTGTAGGCAGACAGGTTCCCAGAATCAGAATTGGAAAAGGTTTGATTTCGTGGTTTTCTGGTTTGCTTATTCGTTTACCTTTTCATGAATTCAAACAGAAGTTATGCAGCACTGAGCAAGAGCCAGGCCCATGATCCTGCCACCATGGAACTGACAGCCGAGGGGAGAGAGAACCAAGTGACAGACACTTGTGACTGCAGGGACCTGTTCTGAATCACCCAGAGGAGCAGTTACCTGGTCTTAGCTTGCATACGGAGGACACATAACTAGAAAACACCATTTTCTGCCTTTCAAGAAAGGCATCAGGGGGTCCTGTCTCCATTGTAAGACTAAAAGAGCCAGCGTGTACCCCCAAAAGTCCACGTCCCCAGGCTGCATGTAGACAGATGTTCTGTCTAGAACAAGAAAGGCAGAAGCTAACCTGGGGGCTGGGTACACGAAATGCCCCCCCTCCCTAATCAGCCCCTTCAATCCCTTCTAGTTCTTCCCCCCCTCCCCCACCAGATTTGGAAACTCTTTTACTAGCATTATCTTGCCCCTTTGTAGGGAATTCCAGGTGGTGCTGTTTAACACGCAAAGATACCAAAGCAAAGGAAAGAGGCCTATTAAGGAAAACTAAGGATAGAGAGTATTAGATGGGAAAAGCTGCCTGGCGGGTTTCTCAGCGCAGGTAGATTACTATGTAATCACAGTGCATTAAGATCTTCCCCATTCTGCTTCCCAGGATCAGCGCTGTGCTCACATTCTGGGGAGAGAGCGCAAGAGGCCACATTTTGCTGTGGTGGAGGACGGCGTCCGCGGGGAAGCCGGGGCCTTGCAGGCGGGGTGATCCAGCTGCTCTGCAGATGCCTTTGGGGGTCGGGGGCTGTCCACACCCGTGTGCTGTGCACGTGGCCAGTGGATGATATGTATTTCCACATGTAGAAGCAAACCACTGATGCTTTTCCATTCTCTCCCCAGCTTCTTCCTGGAGAAGAACATGTTTGTTTTCTTCTTGAACATCCTGCGGCAGAAGTCAGGCCGCTACGTGTGCGTTCAGCTGCTGCAGACCTTGAACATCCTCTTTGAGAATATCAGTCACGAGACCTCACTTTGTAAGGACAATCCTTGACACTTGCCTCCTCACCACTGAGCTTTGGCAGCATGTAGCTTGGCGTGGTTTCCGTGCTGCTTTTGCGTGTCTGTGCTTAACTGTGTGTCTTTGTGTGCTCGGGCTGCTGTAACAGAAGGCCCTGGATTGGGGGTTGAGACCACAGAGATCTATTTTCTCATAGTTCTGGAGGTTCGAAGTCCAAGATCAAGGCGCCACCGGGGTAGTTTCTGGTGAGGCCTTTCGTCCTGGTTTGTAGATGACCGTCTTCTTGTTGCTTCTGGTGTGGCCTTACTTTTTGTGTGTGCGCGCACGCGGAGAGAGAGTTCTGGTGTCTTCCTCTGAGAAGGACACGAGTTTTTTTTTTATCAGGGACCCACCCTAGGACCTTGTTTAACCTTAATTACCTCCTTAAAGCATCTGTGTGTATGTAGTCACAGTGGGGGTTAGGGCTTCCTGGTGTGAGTGGTGGTATCATGCATTTCGGTCCATAACACCAAGTTTATCCCTGTGTGGTGTGGTACCGTGAAGGGCTGAGAGGGCTCCCCTCTGCTCAGTGATTCTGGGCTGTTCCAATTTTTTTCTTTATAACTTGTTGGGATCGCTGAATCATCAGCCAACGGAATAAGGGCTAGAAGCAGCAAGGTGAGGAAGAACAGCCCAGGAGTGTGCAAGGGTGTGGCTCGGAGCTGCTTCTCTGTCCTCACTAAGCCTGGGCTGAAGCAACCGCCCTGTGAGGGCTGTGCCCTCACTTAGTGCCCAGGGAGTTCCAGTCGGCGGCCCATGGTGACAGCTCTAGCAAGGCCAGAATCCAGAAGGGACTTCGGCCCAGCCGAGTTAGTTCAGGGGTCCACAGCTGGGGGTGATTGTGCCCCTGGAGGGCATTTGTCAGTGCCTGTGGACATTCTCGGTTGTGGTCGTGGGTGGGGGCTGGGGTGTTGTTGACATCTGGTGGGTAGAGCCCAGGGGTGCTAAACATCAAACAGCACACAGGACAGCCCCACACAGTAAAGGATTATCTAGCCCAAAATGTCAGCAGAGCCGAGGGCAAGAAACCGGGTTTAGCTTCTCTTCCTGCGTGCTTGACCTCTAGCTTTATTACTCCTAAGACAACTACAGCCGGCCCCAGGCCCTGCCTGCCAGAAGCTGGGAAGAGAAGACAAGTGGCTGAATGTCTGTGTCAAAGGCGGGCTCTAGGTCCCAAGACAGGTTTAGAAAAAGTTTCTGGTGGGTGGAAGGAGGTAGAGATGGTGGCATTCCCCCTCAAGAGGAGGCAGGGAGAGGCCCAGGCAGGGCTGTGCATGGTGGCTCTGGGAAGCGGCCACTAGGTGGTGCTGCCGTCCTGGGAGTCTCTGCTCACACTTCCCGATGAATATGAGTTGACGCATGTGAGTTGACTCACTCTCCCTAAGTGGTTTCCCGTGTTAACAGCTTTTGTTACCCTGGATATGAATTGTGTGCGGTTTCTGAAAACTCCGAGTGGGGAAGACCCGGCTCGGGGGTGCAGGCTCTGGACTGCGACCCACCAGGTCCCGGCCCGGCTCTGTCACGTTGGGCTTGCATGGGCTCCGGGGGTGGACTCTCCGCTCCCCGCTGCGGTTTCTGCTTCTGTGAAGTGGAGAGGATACTCGTATCTGGGGAATAGAGTGGTCTGAGGATTAAGTGGGACAGCGGATGTGCAGAATGGAGCCTGGGGTCTGGCAGATGGAGGCGTCCACTGGAGCTGCTTTCATCGTTAAATCCAGCATTCCCCCAAATGTCTGTTCTCGGGTAACCCGGCCTAAGCCCAGCTAGCCACGGTAGTTGGGATGGTAGAAAATGCTGGAGTTTCTGGATCACATGGCTTTTCTTGAATTAGGACTGAAAAGGGGGCTGTTCTATGAGAAACGCAGGCAGACGTCACTGTCTTTAGGAAGAACTCACCAGAGAGCTTTTATAAGCCCTGCAGAAGGGGCAGACATCACCACCTTTTACAGCACTTCGACTGGGGGCGGGGGGAGGAGGACACGTGACTTTGGCTCTCATTTTTATTTTCCAGTCATAGGAAGGAAACGTCCTTATTCTGAAACAACAGCACCAAAAACCAAACAGCACAAGAATATAGAAAGCAAAAGTTCCGCAGAGCCTCTCCCTCACAGTCCAGTGGACACATAGCATTTTGCCATTTGTTTCTGTTTTCCCGACTTCCTGCCGTATCTCAGATCTTCATGCATCCCGTTCACGTGCCCCCACCTAGTGTGGCTCCGGAGCTGCGTCTTGCTGAGCCCCGAGCTCGTCAACCTGCCCACGGTCATCGAGGTGCTTTCCGGGTTTTCACTATTACCAGCAGCCATTTCACAAGTGCACCTGTCGCTTGTCGGGTTCGGTGACCTAAGTCACAGAGGGCCCGAGAGACTGAGATTACTTAGAGACTCCTGGGTTGAGAAAAGGATACCACAGAAAGTCGGCCACCCAGTGAGGGGGTAGTAGAAAAATCCCAGCCGAATAATAGAGGCACCTCGGCTGCCTCCACGGTGGCCCTCACCACCCACAGAGTCATCCTGTGGAGGCCCTGGAAAAGTCCCCGCTGGGGAATGATGGGAACATGTGGCTTTTCCAGCTCAAGAGTGCAGCCGAGAGGCTCGTGGTTGTATGTCTGAAGCTGCCAGCAGCGGCGTCCTTGCCCCTGGTGGCCCGGAAGCCGCCAGCCAGTCACAGTGGGGCTCCCCGTGACATCCCCATAGTCGGTTCTCCTGCCAGCTCATTCATCTCAAGCCACAGCCAGGACAGAATGGGGAAGAAGGGCTCTAGGCCTCAGGATCACCTGGGCTGCTTGTTACAAGTTAAGATTCTAGGTGGGTAGGTTGTGGACTGTGCACAGAATAGAGCACTACATGGCAAAATGGAGGAAAGGAGTGGATTCTTGCCACTGCGTGCAGCAACTCGGATGCCTCTCAGATATGGTGACCAGTGACAGGCCAGAACACGAGAAGCGTGCGTGTCAATGTGGTCCATGGATAGGAAGCTCTAGAACAGGCAACACGAGTCTGTGTGCTTCAAGTCAAAGTAGGGCTTATTGTTGGGGAGAGGGGGTTGACTGGGCAGGGCTGTCAGTGAGCCTTCTGCGGAGCTAGAGATATGTTCTTTCTGATCTGGATGGTCCTTACGTGGTGTATAATGTTTGCAAAAATTCATCCAGCTGGACACCTGAGATTCGTGGTGTGTATATGTATATACCCCTGTGTGTGTGTGTGTCTATATGCTATATATACACATATAAATACATAGGCACCTGGATTTAAGATTCACCCGTATGTAAATTTCCACACACATCGAGCTGTACACTGAAGAGCTACGATGTGTGTAATGTCATTTTTAAACAAGTCAGTTAAGATTCTTAGGACCCCCTGCCCAGACCCACTGCCTCCTCTCTTGGAGCTTCAGGATTTGCCTCAGAAATTGTTAGAGTCAGGAGGTAGAGAAAACTGTGCTAAGACTACAGACTGCAGGGCTTGTCTATAAAGCCAAGAACACCCAGGATGCTTTTCTGAGGGCAGTGGCTTTCCTGGAGAGCTGGCTTCTGAGAAGAACCCAGCAGTGGGCGCTGCCATGGTCCCTCTCGCCGCCCCGGGCTCCTGGATGGTTCTTTGGGGTGCATTTGGTGATGGCAGCCTTTCTAGTCGTACTTTGGTTTAGGTTGGGTACCTCTTTGGCATGAAATAACAGTCTGTTTCCCATTGTCTCCCAAGACCAACTGTGTTCGGCCCTGGTGGCTGGAGGGTCAGTGGGGTCTCCGGGGTCTCCACGTAATAGTGCTAAGAGACATGGTGGTAGCTGCCATTACTGCGTGCTTTTGCTTTGTGCCCCTCACTGTCCATAGTGCTTCATCTGCTTTAATCCTCACAGCCGACCCCTGGGGAAGGTACTGTTATTCCTGTTTTTGGACAAGGAAACTGGAGAGTAGGGAGGGTAAGCGGCTTTCCCAGGGTCACCCAGCTAGAAGTGGCAGGGGCAATGTGGCTCCAAGTCCCCTTCAAACGCAAGGCTTCTGAAATACGAGCAGGGCTCCTTAACACGCCCAGTGTACCTCGTCCACCCCAGAGATCTGAGTCGGTGGGTGGGGCTGGGGCCCAAGGTTCCAGGTGTCTGATGAGCTCCAGGTGATGCTGGGCTGCAGGGTCTGAGGACCAGATTTTGAGTAGCCAGGTTCCCAGCCATTGAGCTTTACTGCCTTACCACATCTGCCTGCAGGTGTGGGTGTTGATCCCATTATGCCTTTAACTATTGGGGGGCGGCAGTGGGATGGTGCAGCGCTCACAGACTGGCTCCCCACAGGACACACAGTGTGGGATGGCAGCACCCGCTTTGCAGGGTGGCTGGGAAGGACCCAGAGACTTGCCTGGACAAGGACCCAAGGCCAGGGTTGCGAACTGCAGGCCCACAGGCTGCAGCTGGCCTGTAGACCTATTTCTGCCTGCCAGTCCAGCATGAAGAACTAGCTGGTCCTGTGGCCACCATTGCAGAGTCACGGGCAGCCTTCAGATGTTTTCCAGCTTCCCTCACACAGTTGGAGGCTCCCCCGGTGCTGGGCCTCCATTTCTGCAGGGACTTGGGGTTTGGACGAGGGTGGCCGTTCTGCAGTTGACCCCCCTGCCTCGGGCCCTTGCCACCCAGCCTTCATTATTCATCCCCATTAGTGCATGACATTGACACAGACTTTGACCTAGGACCTGACTTCCAATTCCATCTCTGGGACTGACGGTCTCTGTGACGTCTGGAAAGTTAATCAGCCTCTCTGAATTTTTTTTTTTTTTAATTCTCTGCAAAATGGGGAGAACAAGACCTGCTGGGCCGGATCCGATTGTTGTGATAATGTAAAGCCCTCAGCCTGGTGCTGGGCGTGGAGTAGAGGATTTGGCATGAGGTAGCTTTTAGGAAATCATGTTGCTCTATGGGGAGGAAAAAACCACACAGCCCTTTGTCACATTCAGGGATGGCAGTGTGACTCTTGATGGCAACATGGAGCAGCTTTTAATAAAATACAGTGCTTTTTCCCCTCATGTGTGGGTGGTTTGTGAAAATGCCCACACACCAGCACATCTGCCCCACCCCCACCTCTATGTTGAACTTTGCCAGCAAGGAAAAAAATGTTCAGACGTTTTTTCTATTTGGTGTAGGAGGGAGGGGTAGCCCGGGCCTTTCTCTCTCATGGCTCTTGAACTTTCTGGAGGCTGCGCATAGCGGCTGCCTGATTTCTGTGTTGGCTAAAGGTGAAGCTGCTCCCTGTTGGCCTTTTAAACCCCAGCAACCGAGAAGCTTGATGGGTTCGAGCACATTCAGAGTCCTCTGTTACCTGACTTTGTCTGCTTGGCTTTCCTCCGACACGAATTAACCCATCTGTTTTGTGTTTTGTTTTTTTTTTCCTCCCTCTAGATTATTTGCTCTCTAATAACTATGTAAATTCTATCATTGTCCATAAGTTTGACTTTTCCGATGAGGAGATTATGGCCTATTATATATCGTTCCTGAAAACACTTTCGTTAAAACTCAACAACCACACCGTCCATTTCTTTTACAACGAGGTAAGTAAGTGCCAGAGGGGTACGTATATTGGGGCGGAAAGCTAGCTGGTCAGAACAGCACCTTCAGGCCGGGTGGCCTCATATCTGTTGACAAAGCACTTGCATGCTCACCCTTACCTGATTTTCATAGCGACACTGTCAGACCTTGACCTGCTTTAAAAAAAAAAAAAAGTTGGTGGTTTTGGTTTTTTTTTTTAATTCATAAGTCACCTCTCTGTTTTTAAGTAAAATTCAGTTTGTGCTACCCGAGAGCATTGCCTTCTCAGCAGGGAGAAGTGCCTGAACATTAACTCGGGGTTGTGCTTCCCTGTGGGAAAAGCCTGCACTGTCGTTCGCCCCGGCTTTGCCACTTCCCTGCTGCATGACCTCAGAGACTTCTCCGTCCTCTGAGCCTCAGTCTTCTCATCTGGGAACGGGGATGAGAATCGACACCTGGCAGGATTTTCCAGGGGTTGAATTAAATGAGATGATGTCTTCAAAGCCCCTAGTACGTACCTGGCTCCTTAAAATCACAGCCATTGCTGCCCTTCACTAGCTAACGTCCCTGGTATTCCTTGGGAGAATTACTAGCAATTTTAGTAAATAAGTTGCTGTTTTCATGGTGAAAAGGAACTTGAGAAGCTCAGTTTATCTCATTGGTAAAAGGTACCGATACTGGCTCTCCTGGGCTGGTTTCATCCTGTGGCTCCGCCGCTTCATTGAGGATGCAGGCTCTTTCATCTGTCTGCTCCGCTGACCATATAGTTGGCAGCCATCCTCAGGCTTGACCCCTCATGGTCTCAGGATGGCTGCAGCAGCTCCAAACATCACATATTCATGCACCACTGCCGAAAAGCCTGAAGAAATCGCTTCCCTTCTTGTGTTCCTTTCTAACTTCTAAAAACACTTCTTTCCCAGAAGCCCCCCAGCAGACTTCCTCTTGTGTCTTCCTGGCCAGAATCGTGCCACATCTCCCTTAGCGGGCGTCAGGAATTTGGGAACAGCCTCGCAGGGCAGCTCTGCTTGGTCTTTCACGAGGCTAGATGTGAAGGCTGGATCGGGTTCAGGGGATCTGCTTCCAAGGCGGCTCACGCCTGCGGCAGACCAGTCAGTGCTGGCCTTTGGCGGGAGGCCTCAGTTCCATAGGCTTCTCCAGTGGCTGCTTGAGTGCCTTCATGGCATGGCAGCTGGCTTTCCCCAGAGCAAGCGACCCAAGACACCAAGATGAGCTGCAGTACCTTTTGTGACCCAGCCTCAGAGGAGACACACCGTCTTTCCCACCATGTTATTTAGGTCACACAGGTGGGCCCTGACCCAGTGTGGGAGAGCATGATAGCACATGAATACAGGCCACTATATTGATGGTCACTGGGCTGTCCCGGAGGTGGGCTACCACACAGCCATGTGCTGTCTGCTTCTGTCTGCTTCTCTCTAGAATCAGACCGTCCACTCAAACATACCCTCTGAGTGTGGGCAAAATCCATCCAGCTGTCCCCATGGGATGCAGCAAGAACAGCCTGGAGTGGGGAAGAACTGGTCTCAGAGGGAAGAAACATTAGTTGTCAACCACAGCCACAAAATGTATGGCAGTTTGAAAAATTAACATCGTGTGGCCCAGTATCTGGCAGATGGTAGGTGCTAGTTCACCATGTCCAGAGACACGTAGATGATCTTTGCATTGTGCCAGAGACTCCCCGGGTGGATGAAATTCAGGCCAGAGAGAGGTACCTCCACTCAGGTGCAGCTGGGCTTGTGTACCCCAGGATGAGAGGACAGGACCTTGCGATTCTGGGACCAGAGCGATGCTTCTGGAAGAACATCCTGCTGGTCACCAGGGGAGCTGTAGCAGCCTTATTTTTGAGGTGGGCTCAGTTTCCTCTTGCATGTGGGCCAGTGCTGTAGCTACCACTTGCCAAGGGTACACGTCTAGTGCTCAAAGTGGCATTGCCCCCATTAGACAGTTGTCACCGTGCTCTAGGCCGGCTGTTGCCTCTTCCCCACGCCCTCACTGCCCACGGGTGCCCTTGGAGTGGGGATGCAGAGCCATGTGGGACACTGGCCAGGAGAGGGCAGCAGAGCTTGCCCCGCACAGCTCTAGGCCCAGATCCAGGCCCCAGCAGTGCAGTTCTCTGCTTCGGAACTGCTTTGATCCCTTCTGATGGTATCTGTTTAATGCCAGCAGATTCCCCAGCCCCTCCTCCTCCATGGTAATGTGTTTATTTTTAGTATTTCTAAGTAGAGAAATGTGTCCTAGCCAGAAGAGATTCCGAATGCCATAAAACTTCACACTTGCCTTTCATTAGTTGAAGTGGCCTCTGAGAGTAACAACCGGCCTCACTGCTGATGCTTGTTAGGTGGGAGGTCTGGTGGTAGGCCCCAGCCCCTGAAATCACCTCAGTGACTCCTAGCATCTGCGAAGTGGGAGTTGTGATTCCCATTTTATAGACGAAGGCACAGAGGCTGAGGAATATTATAGCACACAGCTGCGAAGCGGCAGGACACATCACAAGCCCAGGTCTGGCATTGTCGGGACCCTTTTTTATTTGTTCTGGGACTGTCTCGCCTCCCCCATTCCTTCCCACATTCCCCACTGGGAATGAACCACTGGCTCAAGGTTCATGGGGGATAATGGTTTTTTCTGTTTTTTGGATATTTGATAGGATTCAGAAAGCTAGGTGGGGGGAGGCCTGCCCTATGGGTTTGTAACTCGTTTTTGGTACTTCTTTTGTTTTAGCACACTAATGACTTTGCCCTGTACACAGAAGCCATCAAGTTTTTCAATCACCCTGAAAGCATGGTTAGAATTGCTGTAAGAACCATAACTTTGAACGTCTACAAAGGTAAGCTTCCCTAGGCACTCAGGCCTTGTCTGATTTCTAACCTGACAGCTGGGGCTTGCTCTCTTGAGTCTGTATACACAGCTCTCCGGTGGGGACAGGGGGCTCATGTATGACAGCTGGGGTTGCATGTCTCATGAAAAGCTCGTAGTCATGGAACATTTAACAGGCCCCTTCCGTGAAGTTTTGTGCCACTTCCCTTGCGTGCGCTCAGTTTTACATGTTGAAGTCTCCGTACGGACACACAGTAGTAGTAATGTCCTAAGACAGGCACGTGTGGGACTCCAAGCAGCCATGTGATACTTAGATAAAGCAGAGTTGTCTTTTGAATGTTATATTTACATTTTTGTGTTTCAGGCTGTAAACTGTACTTAAGTACAGCCTGGGGTTATGGGAATCTTTAAATAACGTAGAAGCATTTGATGTCACGAACGGCAGGGGGCAGCATTGTATTCTCAACTGACTGCAAAGCCCAACAGATTTGCCTTTTGTCAAGATGTACTTAATGCCCAAAACGTCGCCTCTGGGAGAAAGCCCTTCCACGGGTTCCTTGCCCGCCTTGGCACAAAGTCTGGCTGGACGCAAGTTCCCTCGCCTGGAACTGCCCCCCTGAGGGCATGCCTTCTCTGCCTGACACTGGGGTTATTCGCCCTGGAGTCACCACACTGGAGCTGGGACTCCATATTCTCAAGGACTAAAGAGCTTTGACCTTCACGAGTTTTGAGTCATGATGTTATTACTTGAGATGACCCCTAATTGGGGGTGGGAGGAGCTCCTCAGGAACTCACTCCAGCCTCGTTGTGGGATTGCTCTAAACTGAAGAGCCTAAGAGCCTGGTGGGCCCCCCGCCCAGGGTCCCAAACGGAGGGTCGGAGAGCTGGATCCAGCCCTCAGACGTGTTTTGATTGGCTTAGGTATTCCTTGAAAAGATACATAGTTGCCAGTATTTAAACACGGGGAGATCTTGGGTCACTCTGTGGATTTCTGACTTGAAAGTAGAGACTTGGCTGCTCGGGGCCCACAGTCTTGTAGAGCAGTGGTGAGCGGGCACTGAGAAGCAGCGCCTCTCCCTGGGGTTGAGGCTCGGGCTCCCTAGTTCACAGGCTGGGTCTTCCAGCCTCACTCACTGAGTCACCAGCCCACCCAGCAGGCTGCTTAGTTTGTGCCCTGGTCTGAGCCCCAGTTTTGCCGCCCCTGCTCTCTCCTCTCTCTTGTTCTCTTCCAGCCCATATCTTTAGATGCCTCCTGCCCTAGCCCTCTGTCCCTCTGAGCAACTGTCTCCCATCCCAGTTCCTAACCCTGTTAACTGTTGTCTGTTTTTTGCCTTTCCTTCAATGACGATTCCCGTGTTCCTTATTCCAGTGTCATGTAAGTTATTAACTTCTGGTTTTCTGCTTTCTTAACTTATCCTTACATGTAATATACAGGAAACTTGCCTGATAATGGCATGGTTTCCATTGTAGTCAAGCTAAATACATTGCTGAGAAGTAGGCTTTCTGATTGCACTATTAATGTTTAGCCCAATTGATTCATTTTATTAACCATAAAAATAGCATAAGAACTGCCTCGATGTGTATGGTTTCATGAATAAGATAACCATTTTTCTAGTATTCCCAGGAAAGACAGAAAAGGTTCAGATTATAGCAGAGAGCTTTTTCATTGTGGGGTTTTTTGTTTTTTTTTTTTTAATCTCCCCCAGTTATTTTTGGTAACTTGACTTTTTTTTCTTCTTCTTCTTCTTTTGTGAATTTTCTCAGTGGATAACCAGGCCATGCTGCACTATATCAGAGATAAAACCGCTGTTCCTTACTTCTCCAATTTGGTCTGGTTCATCGGGAGCCACGTGATCGAACTTGATAACTGTGTGCAGACTGATGAGGAGTAAGTGACCGCCTTGTGGGGGGGGGGGTTGGGGGCGGGTGTTTCCCAGGCAGAGAGAGTAGTTAGGGGAGAATTCCATTTTCATCGAGGGGAAATAAAACACTAGCACGAAACTTCCGCACCTGTGTGTTGGCAGAATGTGGACTTCTATCCTCTGAAAGGTTCCACCCACCTTCCACTTTTTATAACTGCGGAAAGTTAGAAACAACTCTCATACCTCCTAGAAGGGAAGAGGGTCACTGAAATCAGCGCACCCGTATGTGGGGTGCCAGGCAGCTGGTGCGAAGAGTAAGATGATCTGCCACCTGGTGAGCAGATAAACAAAATGGGGCGTTTGCATACAGTGGGATGATACTGGGCAGTAAAAGGAAAGGAAGTGCTCACACATGGCACGCCATGCTTGGACCTTGAGAGCATGATGCTCAGTAAAGGAAACCAGATGTAAAGGATCACACTCTGTGTGACCCCATTGATATGATATGCCCAGAACAGGCAGGTCTGGAGAGACTGAGCATAGACTAGTGGTTTCCCAAGATGGAAGAGGGGGTGTGTTGAGGGGAAATGGGATTATAGGGCTGTTTTGGGAGGAGGGGTTAAAAATGTTCTAAAGTGGATCGGGAGGACAGTTGGACAACTCTGCAAATGTACTAACAACCATTAAATTGTACACTTGAAATGGGAGAATTTTATGGTGTGGGAATTATATCTCCGTAAATCTGTTAAAAACAAACAAACAAACAAACAACACAACAGATTAAGATGGTGATTTGGGCCCCAGAATGATGAATACAAGTCCCAGAGCAAGATTCCTCCGAGTCGGCACTATTGATCTTTGGAACTAGGGAATTCTGGGCTCTGGGGGCCCATCCTGTGTAGGATGTTTGGCAGCATCCCTGGTCTCCACCCACGAGATGCCAGCAGTGCCCCTTTTCCAGTTGTTTTAACCAAAAACGTCCCCAGACATTGCCAGATGTCTCCTTTGAGGCAAAATCTCCATCTGTGGAGAACTACTGCCCCAGACTGACAGCTTAGTGGAGCCCTGGAGAGAGCCTCACCTAGGCGGCTCGGGATGATAAGGGGATCCAGGAAGGAGGTCTCCTGGGGGACAGGGCTCCAGCCATAGAATATGAGCCCCAATACTGGGAAAGAAGCGGGGATAGGTGGGTGGCAGATCCGACAGGGCATTTGGGAAAACCAGGACGTTTATGGAGATGAGTAGTTATGGATGTGACACATAATGTGGCACTTGATTCCAGAAAAGGCAAAAAGTTATTCCAGGAAGGAAGTGGACTCCTCATCCTCTGTGTGGCCCTACGGTGAATGGTCCTGATGATGTCAACACCACTTGTTGATGACTTGAGGGGGAGGGGCGGAGGGAACGATAAGAGTTCTGTCATCCCAGGAGGTCATTACACGATATCTAAAATGGCTCAAAATAGACGACCTTGAAGATTTTCTAGAGGTGTGGGTGGCACTATCCACAGAAGCAACTCAAAAGTTAAAACCTGCCTTCTCTGGAGAGACTGGGCCAGAGCTGCTATATTTTATTATCAGCTTATCAATACCCTTTAACTTTTAAACCCATCTGCATATGTTTTTTTTAAACTAAAGGTTTAAAAAGTTAAAGTGTGTTAACTATCTTGCTGAAGAAAAATTCCCACAGTATCTTATTAAATGGGGGAAAAGGTTGCAAAACATAGCGAATAAATGTTGTAAGTCTCGGCTGGATGGTGGGCTCATAGGAACTCATCATACTGTTAGCCTTTACAACATGTATTTGCTATGTATATTCATTAAATAGCTTATTAGAGTACGCTAAGAATTATTAGTTATGTGAAAGAAACAACATTGATTCTATTTTTACTTTTTTTTTTTTAAGGCACGTATGGTTAGATGGATAGATTCATAATACCTGCATTTAGATGTGATTATAGGGGGACATAGAAATGGGAATAGGAAAACAGACTGTAGGGTCACAGGTCCCAAAATGTTATCTCTTAGTGGGTGGACTACAGGAGACCTTGATGTCTTTCGCTTTTTCTTCTTCAATTTCCCGTCTTCTGAAATGACCATCTATTACTTGAGTAATAATTATAATACAAACAAAATGTCTTACCACAGCTACATTGCTCCTTGCAACAGATACCACTTTGGGGGTAGTGAAAGTGTGCCACTAGCTGTTTTTGGGGTTCTGTTCTTGGCAAGTGTAAGACTGATGACCCATGGGGCCCAAGAAGCATGCTTGTTGCTTTACTGGAAAGAGACAGAGACCTCTGGGCCTGGGGTCGAGTGTCATGTCCTTGCGCTTTGCCCCCATATGGTCAGGGCCAGGGGGTTGGATGTGGTTGCTGAGGACTGCTTTTCTCTTTGGAACTCCTCTGGAGCATTTTAATTAGCAAGGATTTATTGCTCCATTAATACTCCTTATCTTGGGAGGCAGGGGATCTTGCCACATTGACTAGCAGCTACTCTTGTGGAATGGCTTGCTAAGGGAGCTGGATTTTGCTTTATTTACCCATTTTGTTTTGGGCTGTGGTGGTGGTGGTGGGTGAGTTGTGGTGAGGCCCCCAGAGGGTGGGGGGTACCCCAGGAGTCCCCTACAATTGATTGCGGTATACCTGCCCATTTTTCCTGTGTGTATGCCACCAGTAGGGCCAGTATAAGTGTCCCTTGAGCCTGTTTGTTGTGTGAATATTTGTTGTATGAATGAAACACTCCATCTGACCCAAGTCCCAGGCCAAGGCCCAAAGGCTCTGTGCTTTGGCTTCCAGGCTAAGGCTGTCCTTTTTCTTGGCAGACACCGGAATCGGGGGAAACTGAGTGACCTGGTGGCCGAGCACCTGGACCACCTGCACTATCTCAATGACATCCTGATCATCAACTGTGAATTCCTCAATGACGTGCTCACAGACCATCTGCTCAACAGGCTCTTCCTGCCCCTCTACGTGTACTCACTGGAGAACCAGGACAAGGTGGGTCTGGGGGCCTGGCCCCACCATGCCTGTGGGCTGAAGGCAGTCTTCAGAAGGGGGAAGAACAGTCCCCTTGAATAGGACCAAGCTTTGCAAGGGACCAGGGCTTGAGCCTGAGAGAGATGCCTTTCAAAAGCACACTGGTTTTCTTTTCCTTTCCTTTTATTTCCTGGGGGAGGAGGGGTAGGTGGAAAGAGGGTAGGCTGAGAGGGAGAGAGAGAGAGAGAGAGAGAGTGTGTGTGTGTGTGTGTGTGTGTGTGTGTGTGTGTGTTGGGGGGACAGCTATAAAAGTGAATGGGAAAAGAACAGGACACCAGAAGGAAACAGGAAACCTCTATGAATTTAGGTTTTTGGTTTCTGTGCATCCTACTCTTGAGGTATTCTCATTCCTGGTAACTTTTTCTGATAGTCGCCAGAGTGACTTGATTTGCAGAAGATCCAGTCAGCCACAGAACTCGCACAGAATGGATGGGAAGGGTTGGAGCACACTTTGGAAAAGATCCCAGAGCAGTGACTGTCCACAGTTAGGCTTAGAATCCTGTGTGGGTATTGAAATGCACATCCTCGGGGGCCCACTCTCCGTCTCAGATTCTGGCACTATGGATCTGTAGTGGACCTGCCGTCTGCATCTTTAACCTGTCCCCCAGGTGGCTTTGAGCTGGCCGTTCTCAGATCCTATCGTGAGAATTTCTGCCCAGTCCTTTCCAGAGTTAAGGGGCAGAGACCTCAGCAGGAGGCAGGATGGAGCCAGTTGGTTACTGTGCAGGGGCTCCAACCTCTGTGGATGTGCCCCAGGGGGTTGTAGCTTTCTTTTTGGAGATGGAACATGGAGATTCTTTGTAAAAACCAGTAAACAGAAGAAGATTGCAGCTGTAACTAGATCTATCAGAGGCAGCTCTGGGAGGCAGAGAAAGCACGGGCCTTGGAGTTTTCAGACCTGGCTTCAAATTCTGCTTCTTCCCTTTCCTCACTCTGTGGCCTTGGCCAAGGCAGCTAACCTACCTGAACCAAAGCAGGGTCTTGAAGATCCTCACAGGGTTGATGTAGGATGGAGCACATTGAAGTTCAGTACAAACAAGGGACTTTCCCAAGGCCAGAGTGCCCCAACCCCTCCTTGGCCCATTTTGAAAGCTCTTCCTGAGAAGAGACCTCTCCTGCAGGGCAGTGGGCTCGGTGCCCCAGCTGGGGGAAATTCATATTCCTGGTAATTTAAGGAGCTAGTTCTTCTCTTGGGCCCAGCTTCTAATCCGTGACTAATGGTGAAGGATTTCTCAGGTGGAAAAACAGAGGCCTGGAGAATGGTATTGGATAGGATTAGATTGCGAATTTATTTTGCAGAGTGGACTTTTCACTAGTACCAGGAAAGAACAGCCTTGGGGGCGTGGGGGAAGTGGGGGACAGGCTGCTTTGCCTTCAGACAGGTGGCTTTTGGCTTCATGTATTTTGTGCTGCTCACGTGTGTGACCTGGACTTCTGTCTCTTTCCCTTAACCCTCACTAGGGAGGAGAACGCCCGAAGATAAGCCTGCCGGTTTCTCTCTATCTCCTGTCGCAGGTATGGTTCATCATTTGCCTGCTTCCCCAACCACATTTGGGGGTCCTTTGGAGGACCAGGCCACATCGCCCTGTCTTCTTTCTGCGGGATCCCCCATCTTGAAGTAAAACAACAATAAAAGGAAGGGGAGGATCTCTATTTTTCAGACACAGAGTAGAGGGGCTGGTATCTTATTCATGGTAGTGGGTAGAAATTGAAAGAAAAATGAAAAGGAAATCAAACCTGGCACTTATGTGCTTGGTTTTTACCACGGGGACTGAGGTTTTCAAACAACCAAGGAGTGTTCTAAATACTCTGGAAATGTGGACGGCATGGGTCTTATTCATGGCATTTTGAAATAAGCCCCAAACTGCAGGACCCACTGTGTGTGTATATCCCTGCAGCAGCCTTGGTTTAACAAACTTCGACTAATGAGGCTGTTTTTAAAGACTTTTGTTGTGGTTGTAGTTCCCAGATTACCTTCTGGAAGGTATCTTGTAGCAGCCTCCATTCCCAGATTTGTGTCTTGAGCCAGTTTGTCTGCCTCCCCCTCCTTAAACAAGTGTGTTTCCTTCTCGTAATTATGTAATATTTACAAGAAGGGAAAAACTCCATGGTGACCCAGTTACATAACTTTAAAAATATTTTTATTACAAGCAGTCCAGACTTTCAGTCCATCTCATTAGACTGTCAAGTAGTCAAACATTTGACCAGAGTTCTGTTCCCACTTCTGCAGCGGCGCAGGTATTTATTGGCTTTGCCGAGAGAACCAAGGCCTTCTGCCCTTGGTCCCTGGGCCATTTGGAGATTGAGGCAGGGCTGAGAAAAGTCGCAGCCCCGGCCTCCCCTGGTGGCTAAGCCAGTCGGGGTCCACACGCGGCCTGCTCCTTACTCCCCCCTCAGAGTCTTGTGCTGGGGGCTCTGTTTGCCTGGAGCTCTGCACCGGTTCCCACTCCTTCTGAATGCCCCTCTGTGCGACGGAGCTCCATGCAAACCCCAGCCTCTCCTGGCACCCTTTTCCGCCACCTCATTACAAATCTGCCCGAACCTCCTGCTTGGGATTCTGGGAGTCTGGCAGGACCTGAGCAGCCAGATGCTCAGCCACAGGAATCCCGTGGAAAGCACTCCGAGGATCCTGTAGCTGTTGGAGCATTGCATGGGCAGAGTCTCCTCTCAGGAGCGTGGGGTCAGGCCACGCCCTTTCTCTGAGAACCCCTTTGCTCCTGTTTTCTTAGAGAAGGACTAGGAGCTCAAGCACCAAATGACTTGTCTCAGTAGCTCACAAAAAGCATAGCATGCGATTTGGCATCCTCAGCTGGAGCCACAGGGCCCATCCTCCCCTGCGTTTTCATTAGCTTTTTCATATTGATGCCCAAAATGTGTGAAAACCTCAAATCAGGTAGAAATCTCATATCTTTTGTCCCTCCGTCAAAGCACCCTTACAAATTATTTAACAAGCACAACTATAAAACCCAGAAAATTCACGTTAATGACGCTAATTTAGTGTGACCCAGGGATGCTGTTGTTCTAGAAGTCTCCCTCTTACTCCCGTCCCCCAGGCACCAGGTGCCATTGCCCAGATGCAGGAGTGTTTCAGTGTCTGGCTCAGCTTTTCTTCTTCTTCTTCTTTTTTTTTTTTTAACAATGTTTATGTTTTTAATAAATTTTTTAAGTTAAAAAGTTCAAACAGGTGAAAACCAAGTTTCCTTTCTACTTTTACTTCACTGCCTGATTTCTGTCCCCAGAGACAACTATAGTTATAGGGTTTTCCTGTGCCCTTCCAGAGACATTGCCTGCAGGGGGTTCTTAACTGGGGGTGATTTTGCCGCCCCCACCCCGGGATGTTTGGCAACATCTGGAGACATGTTTGTTTGGGTAGAGGCCAGAGATGCTGCCAAAACATCCCACAATGCACACGACAGCCCCCCCCCCCCGCAATAAGGAATTATGGCCGCATAATAGCGCCAGGGTTTAGAAACCCTGTTCCATGTGTATGTAAGCAAATGCAAATATGCACACACACCCTTTTTCTGTAAAAATGGTGGGTATGTCCCAAGCTGTGCTACACCACTGGCGTTGTCTTTATATTTTCAAACAAAGTAGCAGGTGTGTCTGAGCCAGCTTTGAATACTCTGATTCCCAAAGCTGTTCTTCTGAGCATTGGGCAACAGGGTGGGGTAGCAGGACCATCCCAGACAGCGCAGCGCCTTCTGATTTTGCATGCTGGCACAACTAGGCCTGACTCTGGCTCGTGTGGCCTTCCTTCCCCACAGCGTCCACACCTCCCATCGCTGCCATGAAATCTTGGTGTGCTGAAACCCACCGCGGGGGTCAGAGCTCGTTCCAGCGATGGAATCTCTAGGTAGCCGACCCTTTGCCAAGTCCTTGATTGGAATAAGACTCGCCGGCCCCTTCTTCCTGTCTATAACTGAAATGCTGGGCCGGTGCCTTCCAGTCTTAGCATAATCAAATTTGACACTAAAATGCCTGTGGAGAGGAAGGAGTGTGCTGGTTTGGCTGCTGCTTTCCCACGTTGTTCCACATCAGCCGAATTTGGCTTCCCCCAGCCATGAGGGACAGTCTTGCTTTAATGCACTTCCTTCCGCTGGGGAGCAGCCAGCCAAATGGGCAACAGTCTGAATGAAGGAGGGGCCGACCCTGGATGGAGAGAGGCATCACTGGCTTCTCCTAAATGGGACCCATTCTTTGGATTTTGCTTCACGGGAAATGCTGCTCAACACAGGGCCTAAGTAGCCCAACCTAGTTGTTTCTGATCCAGAAAGGGAGAGGTGGAGAGATTGCAGGCTTTAATGCAAATCCGATGTCTTCTTTCTCACCAGGTCTTCCTAATTATACATCACGCACCCCTGGTGAACTCGTTAGCTGAAGTCATTCTGAATGGTGATCTTTCTGAGATGTACGCTAAGACCGAACAGGATGTTCAGAGAAGTTGTGTAAGTCATTCGCGTTGGGACTGTTCCTAGACCTTGATAAGAAGCCGCTGCTCAGTTTGCTCATGCGTGTGTTTCTCTAAAACCAGAAACCGCAACATTCTGCCTCTACAGCAATGATGATGTGTAAGCTGGTCTGGGATTCAAGGAACCTAATCAGAGTCTTAAAATATGTACCCAGGAAAACCTGAGTTGGGTACTGAGTGGATCTGATTGATCGTATGTTATTGAACAGGAAATCATACTGCTCTGGGCCCCAGGTTATGTATCTGTGAGACACTGTTACTGGGACGGAATGAGAGGATACTTGTCTAAGGCACAAATACCTACAGAGGCTGGACAGAGAACATCTATGCATGATGTGGGCCCCCATGAGAGAAGAGTAGGGAAGGGTAGGGACTGTGGCAAATTGGAGAGCATATGCATCCTTTGTCAGTTCTGCAGGAATATGGGTGCAGTAGTTCCTGGTTTCCTCATGTTTCCAGAGAAGCTGGAAATCTGCATTTGAATGCCAACACTCCCGAGTTTTAAACGATCACCCAGCTGTGGCCTAAACAGAGCACATCTACAGTTTGTGCACGTTTGTGCATTTTGCACTGTGCTAAAGGAAGACTCCCGAGACTGGCGTTATGATTTCTTCCCAGGTTTTCCCAGCCTGGCCGCTGTGACTCTTGCCTGTCTTCCCTCCTACTCTCCTGCTCCTGTGTCCTGAGCTCCAGGCTTCCTTGGTACCAGTCCAGCTTGCTTTTCCCCCAGCATGCCCTGTGTTTCTGCCTCTGTCCCTGTGACCTTACCGTACCTGCACCCTGGAAGGCCCTTGCCCCAGGTTCCCTCTGCTTGCAGCAGCTTTAAGCAGCTCTGGCAGGCACCTTGTCTCCTTGTATCTGTTGCAGCTTGGGCTTGGCATATGTATCTGAGATGAGCACAGTGTCTCATACAAAGGCTGTTTGGGGAGCACTGTCTCTGGAACCGGTTTCTCAGGCAATAGGCACAAAGGTAACAGGGCTAGGTTTGCCCTTGGGCAGTCGACTCTGTTGCCATACCTGAGCTAGCAGGTGGGTGGAGTGTGATCCTGTAGTGAGAAAGGCCAGGACCGCCCGGAGTGCCGTGACAGGAGTCCCTGCCCTGCTGGTTTTTCTGGTGTGTGGCGGCTTGGCTGGGCCATTTGGCTGTTGAAGGGAGTCATAGAGCCTCTGAAAAGGTTCCCAGAAACTTTCTGGCCTTGGTGGTGGTGGCATTAGTTCAGCTGAATTGAATGGGGCCCTTTCATGGCCCCTGTCTGGCCTATCCCTTCTTTGATTCATTCAACAAGTGTTTATTAAGCCCTTTCTTTAGATTAGGCACTGTGTTAGCTCTGCGGATATACAAAATCCTAAATAGTCTGTCTTGTTGGAGCTTTATAGCCCAGTAGGAGAGACCGATGTGGATCAAATAGACAAATGTACTATCGCAAGTCTTAGAAGTGCTCTAAAGGGAAGGAGTAGCTTTTGGAGAGAGGATGTAACCTAGAGGCGACAGGGGTGACGAATACTGAACCGGGAAGGGCTCCCCTCGGGGCCCGTGCCAGGACACCATAGATGAGCACACGTGGAACTGACTTGGTGTTTATGGAGCTGGAGACATTTCTCTGCAACTTTCTTAAACTCCGTCTTGCCGACTGAACGCAAGCGGTGGCATGCTGACTCCACAGAACCCATGGGGCCTCCCGGTCCGAGCTGCTGAGGCCCACCAGCTCCCTTCACGCACATTGTTTCACCCCATTTAGAAAACAGGTGGAGCAGGTCCAACTCCGGAGGGCTGTTGGTGAGGATGGGAGGGAAATATATCGAAAGTGTCCATCAGGTACCTGACGGGTCCAGTCCAGCCCTCAGAACTGTTTGGTTTGGTCTTTTGAAGTATTTAAAAGAAAATTTTATGGATGACCAACTTTAACATTTAGGAAGTTCCACATATAACTCCAGATTTCGGGATTGCGTTGAACAGTCAGCAGGTCTGGTCCCCATTATACGCATGTTTCCGCAGCAGGCTTCTCCGAGGCGGCCCCCGCCATCAGACGGGGCATGTGTTTGCCATCGGACGTGCTCCCTCCCCATGCAGCCTCTACAGACCCGTACGGCATTTACATTAATAGCAAGCTGGGATGTGCTGAGTCCCTTTGGACTTTCTTTGGTCACTGCTCAGGCTTTGTCCCAGAAGGTCTTCCTGTAAGACATTCAGTGCCAAAGTTCGACTTGGTATTCCAAGAGATGAACGCAGAGATCTTTGGGGTGCTGGGGCTTGCAGGTTTTTTCATTGTGATTAATAGGCATGCAGTTGTGAGAAATAATCATACCCCTTGCCCTGGTCATCCTCTAGTGGTTACATCTTACAAAACTCTAGTACAGTGTCACAGCAGGATACTGGCCTCAACGCTTGGGGTTTGCAATTTGAGCAAAAGCAAATTGCACAAAGTTCCTGGCGACCGCTCAGCTTGGGATACCCACTTTGGTTGAACCCTCTAATGAGAGGGAGCATTAGGAGATCTGTTCTTTCTCCCGCCGGCCTCCTTTTGGGATGAAGTTCCTGCCTCCGTTGTGATAGACACACAACTGCTTGTTGTAGTGGACGCCTGAACCAAAAATGAGATTGTTTTGAGTGTGGAAGGAATTGCCAGCCCAAGTGAAAGTGTCAGCTTTCTGCTTCCGGGTATCGCCTTTCCCTGGGTGCAGAATCGAACTTTGTTGTGTTCGGATGACTGCACTTGAAACTTGGGCAGAGTGGAGGTGAACCCCATTTATGACTTGCTTGACAATAGTCCTGGTAAGATTCACCTTCCTTCCCTCTGAGCAAGAACGGTCTCCTATTGTTTCCTGCCTAACTCGGATGTGGTTTGATCATGCTCGTTTTAAGTTTCTTGATCTTTTTTAACCTACTTTCTCCTTCCCGTAATTTGTAGATAAGTTACTGGTATTGCTTCATTTTTACCAGCAGACCTTTCACAAAACCAAACCAAAATTGAAGAGAGAGAAGCAGAGGGAAGAGCAGAGTTATTTGAAAAGTCTGTAATTTAGGGTTAAATTTAAAACACATCAGCATGGTTAGGTAAATGTCTAATTGAAATTCATCTGTGCATTAAAATCATATGGTTCCTGCTAAGGGCCAGTTCTTGCTATAATTCTAATGCAGAGCAGATCCTGTTTCTTGTTGAGGGAAATAGAGTAAGAGAACACTAATCCTGAAACTGCTAACGTCTCGTTATTTTTTGCAACATGAACACATAGATGAGATTATGGGATATGCATCGTTACCTACAGGTGCTTTTTTTTTTTTTTTTTTTTTAAAGGGCCTGTTTTCATCCTCCGCTTCTGTGGAATAGTTTCCTTTGTTTTGCATTCATTCAGTGCGTTTCCGCAGCAGAGATGCAGTGGTGCATAGTAAGGATGCGACCCCTGGCCTCTTTGGGCTTCTCATGCCCCGTTAGTGGAGGGGGCCCTGTCCTGGAGATGCTGACGTCACCTGTGCCATCTTGGGCTTGCCAGAGATGCTCAGGGGCACTCACTGCAGGAATGAGCAACTCGAAGGGTGAACTGGGGGTCGGGTTACAAGGGCTCTTGTGATGTTCTTAGTGACTCTCAAAACAGAAATAGCTTCAGAGCCTGACCCTCACGTGCCACCTTCTTTTTGCTCTGTGGCAGGCTTTGGGGGAGGAGTGTTAGGGCAGATTGCTTTTGGTACTATTCTGTGTCCCGCCTTACGGGGCAGTCTAGTGGAGTGGACTCTGGAGTCAGGCTGCTCAGGGCTCCTAAATCCTGGCTCCTGGTCTCACTAGGTATGTCCCAGGGCAAGTTAGTCCACTCCCCAGGCATCCGGTTCCTCTCTTCTCCAATTAGAATAATGGGCATGGGTCTGCAGAGAGGATTACATGCAGGGTAAAGTGCTTCTCCTAAAGGTGAGTGCACATCAAGACCTAAATATTAGATGTTATCGTTACAATGATCTTAGTTTCTGAAGCCATGCAACAACCCCCGAGTCCCCTGCTTGGGACCTTCCTTCTTGGGATGATTAAGGTAGAGGCACGCTGAGAGCACCCCTTAGGGAGATGCCTTATGACTAGAGGCCTTGAGGGCACTGAGGGCCGGGTGTTAGCAACAACAATGACAGTCATAGCACTAATTGTTAAGTGTTGCCTTTTCTTGGCAGTGGGCTGAGCTCTGTGCATTTCTGGCCCTGCAACTTAGCCAGCCCCAGAATCCATCTCTGGCAAGTGCAAAGGCTTAACCAGCTTAGGTGTGTTCCTGCGGTTGGCTGGCTGTGAATTCAGAAAGGGGACTGAGAATCCTGGGTGCAAAATAGGCTCGTTTGTCCCCAGACGAGGATGTCGACCACCCCTCTGTAGGCACCAGTTCAACCAGTTGGAATGGTCTCCAGATGAATCTGGGAGGATCCCAAAGAGTGAGTGAGTGCACACCTCAAATGTTAGCCGCCAGTTCTCTGCATGACACCCATCTTTCCTGGGAGCTGGATCTGCTGCTAGCAGAGCACTCATTGGGTCAAAGCATATGGAGCTGGCAGCTGAGAACCTAGCAGCCTGCCTCCTCTGCTTCCATGTTTGCAGAAGCAGAGCACTAGTCATTGGCTTGGGTCCCCTGGTCACTGCTGCAGGGCTGTCTTTGCAAACCAGGCTTGAATCAGACGGCAGCCAAGCCTCCTGCGCAGTGAATGCATCATGCAGAGTAGCCCCCTTTGCAGCCCAAATGACAGTTACCCTGAATCTCTCAGTGACCCTGACCTTACTCGAGATCCCTGGCTAATCAATGTGGCTTCTGAAGCACACACATTCTTCTTCCTGAAAGTGGTAAGAGGCTTCTGGGAGAGGGCTGATGGTGCACACCGAAAGAAAAAATAGACCACTATAAATCAGAGGCCTTAAGTGGCACAGATACAAACATACCCACAAAAGAATTCAAACTCATTGTGTATTCTTCCTTTCTTGCGGGGCCATTGTGGTCTCTCCTGTAATCCCT